ACTTAAAGATATTCGTGTTTATCGGCAGGTGGTCAAACTTCGTAAATTTTAGTCTTTACATAATTATATAATTTTGGAATTTCTTAACAGTATTTCGATATTTATGGAAATTCAAAGGCTGTATCATTCTGTTCTGTGATGTTTAATTATATCGCAAGTATTACTGTCTATACAAAATGAAAAATGTTTTGTAATAGAAAATTTACAAAAGATTCGTAGACGCTAGATCACTTTATTAGGCGTCCGAGATTCGGCAAGTCATGCTTATACTGATATGGATTTCAAAAGATAAAATATAGTAGTGGATTAGAACCTTTATCATATTGTACAAGTAATGATTTAATATCACTATAAATTTCACTTATCTGTTATAAGAAATTTTAGAAGATTTTTCCAGTATCGAACATTTGAATATGAGGAAGTTTCTTATTACCAATTTGTTCTCCTGTTACATTTATATGGGTTGCCAAGTGTCTTGTCTTTTCAGACGGTTTCAGATCTGTCTGTATTTTCCAATATATTTCATTGTATTCTCATACATTTCCCAATTTTTTATGTAACAATTAAAACAAAATAATGCTTTAATTTATAATCGCCTGATGAATAGTTTTGTTTTTAGATATTCTATATCATTGATTAAGCAGAATATCACAAACAGCAATATTTTTCAGGTTAATACAAATAAAAGCCAAGAGAAGTTATGTTCATCATTAGTTGTGTTATTACATAAACTGTAATATGATAATCACATATCGCTTTTATGAAAAGAAATATTTTTTTTTTGCAAATTCTTACCTTACGAAAAAAATCTTAGAATTTTTTCTTGTTTTTTATACATTTCTCTGGCGTTATTACATTTACACTCTTAGTTCCTATGAATATATGCAGTTCTCAAACTTTTTTAGCCAAAGGCTTGATGGTCTCATCCTGATTTAATGTAAGCCTTGGTTACTGTATTACCTTTCATTGGAGTTACTCAGACTCGGTGTAGGTATCAAAAGCCAGAAAATGCAGATTGATTTTGGGTGTGCTTAAAATATGTCCACATACCTGGAATGCTTTTTTGTTGTTGGTACAAGGGTAGTATGGCCCAATGTGCAAGGTACAACAATGACAACAGTAGATATCTGTGGCTTAATGATGAGCATCCAGAACTGGAATGTCTGCCTTTTCATGTGTACAATTCAGAGCTGGAACTGCCTCTATATCAGTAACAGTGGTTTGTAGCATTCCCCTTTATATGCTGGGTACATCATTGATCCATTCAACTTTGTTCAGTTTTCCACTCGGTACATAGAAAAATACTTCCTGTGAGAACAAGCTAGAACCTTCTGCTACACCTTGTGACTGCGCTCAGTATTCATCAAATATTTTGTTTCCCTTACATCTCATTTTCGTGTTCTTTCTCTATTCTTTATTGATACTTGAGCCTTTTATTTGTTGATGCACATCAAAAACAACAACAACTTTTCTGCTGTGGAAACTCTTTTATTATCGTTCCGAATATAGTGTCTGCTAGCTCAGAGAATGCATTGTGGTCTAGTGTTTGATAGTAGTTTCCCATAAGATAGAAACTGTACCATACCATAGGGCTTAAAAGAACAGTATACAAATTGTTAATAACATTACATGTTCAAAAATTATCATAACTTATTTCAAAAATTGAAGTTTAAAACAAGTCGTTCCTAAGTCTGTATGTCGTTATATAATGTTTAGGTTATATGATTTTTAGTTGTGTCTAATCTTAGTAGACTGTCCAAATGTTGGAAGGTTATTATAATAACTCTGTCTTAAGTACCGTTTCATATAAATATTTATTTCATCTGGTATGAAATAACATTTTCAGTGTAGTAAAAAGCATTTCGTTGGCAGAAAGAAGACAAAAGTTTATTTAAATAGTAAAAAAGATGATAATCTTCGTTAGCATCCTGTCTACAGTGAATACGCTTTATTAGTAATACTTGGTATAATGTAAAGTAAAATTTGTTTTTATCGTCGAACCTGTTTAGATCAGAAGAACATTTTATTCCTTTGACTTTCTAACTGTGTGTTAGATGTGAATTATGGTTTTTGTGTAACTCTCGAGGCTGATTAGATGTCTGCTTTTTTCCTCTGTAGCTATGGGAAGTCGTGTGGCAGGTAAAGAGAGAACGTCTTTGGCCGGTCAGTAGAGCTTTATTCTTGACCCTAACCGTTTGCTTGATATGTTGTGTGTGACACTCAAACACTAAGAGTAGTTCCATATGAGATTCGATTTTCGTGTAATTGGTGATTTTATTATTAATGTCCTATACAGTGTATATATATATATTAATCACTAATTATACGCATTTTTATTTAACTTGCTATTTCACCATTAAGTGGGAAATAAAGGATATTAAAAGACTTGACGTTTCGGCCTATTCTTCTGGTTTCAACTAATCCCCCCCCCCCTTGTTTGTATTTTTAAGGGTTCGTGTTAATGATATTTTCAAAATGTATTCATGTTCAAAAAGTTGATCAGTATCTTTAGCATGATGTTTGAATTTTAGACAATATTTTGAAAGGATTATCATGACTTGTCTTTTGACTTTCAACAATACTTCCAGCATAGTTGTGTGCCACCTAAAATTGAACAGTTAAGATTTTTGAACGCATGCTTTGTATAATTTCGTCATCGTTATTGTTAATCAACAGTAAAGAACTAATAAAAGGTTCTCAAAACATCGTAACAGTGTGTACGAATTGATGGAGTTGTTTTCGTGCTATCAAAATAGCGATTCTGATAGATTTTGTATGTACTGTTAACTTTAATATGTTGATTTGTGGCTAAAGCAGCTACGTGTAGAAAGTACAAAGTGTCCGTACATTAGGGAAAACAGTTAAGCATTGCATTTATGTGGTTTCATATTTGTGATCTTGTTTCATGATTGTGGCTAAAACATGCCATTCAGGAATCTTGGAATAGGGCAGGGTATTAATTAAGACGGTGAATTAGTTTCACTTGTGAGATTTCTTTTGGGGCTTCTTATAGATAAAGTATAAATTAGCAAGCCCTAGACACGTGGAGCTTTATAATAACGTTCAAGTTTAGAAGACTTGTTCACCCGACACGTGCCAAGAGATTGTTGAAAGCGGTACTGTTGGAACTGATGTTTAACTCCGTTTAATGGTAGACACATTAAAGAATTTATTTTGCAGGAAGATCTTTCCTTTGATGATGGCAAACATTTTCTTTCCTTTTTGACTTTGCTTTGGAAATTACATGCATCTAATTTTGAAGTGTAAGGAAGAATGGATTGTACCAGTGTATTGGGTTTGGTAATTGTTCAGAGTTCTGGTTATATAGGGAGTAAGAGAAAAGAAAAATTAACAATAAAGTAAACAGCTAATCTTGTTAGTGTGTGTGCTATAATGTCCGTCTCCTTCCAAGATGAAGACCTGAACGGTAACAAAAACAAAAATGTCTCCAGTTCGCGATATCGTTTATTATTTTAAATCGACATCCACTGTTGTGCCAAACCATTTCTTAAAAACAACCTTACTATTTGCTTAAAACGTCACGTATAATAAATTATATTAATTTCTCAATTAATTATTTGTTTATTGTTTTAAACCGTCCTTAACTCTTTTCCTGCCTTGTGAGTTTGGAGTTTTGTACCACCATGAAGAAAGGATATTCCCTTTCAAACATTCCAAAGATTCGAGTTCTAGATAAGGAAATGATATCATAATACGTGTCTTCTTTTCTTTCTTTTTTTTTTTTGTACATTTAAAAATATATTTGGCACTGGGAGAGTTGTTTACTTCTAAACGTTGCCGAGATGGAGATAAATAACAATTTGAGAAATGTACAAAATGATCCTATAAACACTTTACCATCGGAACTAGACTTCAGGTAATAGCCTAGCCTAAAATAATCACCCGAAAGTTAGAATTTTGCATAAAGAACATCACAGTACATCTTGTTAATCGATGCAACACATATTTTTCATCCTAACAGTTTATAAATTATTCTTACCTTCCCAATAAGTTTGCATGTGACGTCAAAACGGTCCTTGTCCGACATCAGTGGAAATGAGCACCAGTATGCTACCAGAGAGTTTTTGTTTTCAGCTAGGAAAGGTTACAGGCTCTGACTAGATAAAATTGTAATAAGGTATACCAATTATTAAGTACGTATAATTACCCGAAAACTGATGAATTATTAATTAATTTGTCTGTGTGTGTGTGTGTGTAAAGAAATTTCAGTCGAAAACATTTTAGGAACAAAAAAAGTATATACCGGTTTAACGAGACGTCAGTTTTGTGTTGTGTCATTCGAGAAAGAAGCATATAAAGCTTTGACCTTCTTATATGATTAAAACTTAATTACCTTTTGTCGTCAATAAGGATATAGAATTGAATCAGATAATGTAAATTTTAAGTAATTATGTATACAGACTTTTTATCCAATAAATACTTTATATTTCCCGTATTCCAAATTAAAAGACTGAAATCATTGAGACAGATCAGTATAACCAAAGACTAGCAGTATCTCTTCTTCCACTTGGTACTACTTGTTTTGAGTGTGGAGGAAGTCTCTGTGCCCTGTTCTTGACTAAGATACAAGGTCACTTGGCTTTTCAGTAACACATTATGTGTAACTATAAATATCTACCGTCAAAGTCCATCTACTGGCTGATGTTCTGACTCTTTCTATTGCATCGTTTTTCAACTGCGCAGTTTCTCAAGGTTGCAACAACCTTATGACTCATAAGCTTTGCTCTATGTTTTTGTAGAAGGGTGTGATGATTTCAAAACTTTCCTACGCAAATTATGTTGTGATAAAATAGATGGAACCAATAAAATAAAATAAAACTGTATTTATATGGGATAAATCTGTTCATATCACCCAGAAAGTTCAGATTTGTTACATGACTACATGTTTATAATTTAATTGAAAATGAGAACTAACATTATTTTTTTAGTTGATAAATGGGCGACAGCATCAACTACACCAACTCATTGGTAGTTCGGCAATGGGAAAACGGTATCCACCAGAGCCATCTAGTCCTCAAAATGTAAATCACTTCAGGCATAAGAAAGAACAAAAACTTTAATTTCGGCGTTTATAACCAAGTACGTTTCAAGTTTTACAACTACTTGCTGTCCATAACTAACAGCTGTCTGGCAAAAGTCTTGTAGTCTGTAAAGCTACAAACATTTTTAAACTGAACAATTAAAATGATTAATAGAATATAAATCTAGAGAAAAAAATATTTAATGCAATTTTTTTAAGAATTATTTCATGTTTGGTTTTCTATAGGCCTGTCGAGATAAAGAAAATGTGGAGCCTTCTTCTCGCACCAGTTCCCTTCGCAGGATATCAAAATCAGGTTCTCAGTCTGTTCACATCCCAAGGTTCTATTACCCTCAAGGGCGTCCAAAGTCATCTGGGGAAGTTGAAACTTTACTTCAGAAGATTGCCTCCACTTTCTCAGGATTTCATGATGGAAAAGTGGGTCCAGAACAGTTTGGAGTCATTACAAAAGTAAATGAATTTTAACATACTGTAATATTACAAAGAAGAATAATTGGCAAATATTCTGTACTTTTCGCCTCTTTAATTGTGAAAGAGTGCATAGTCTGAATTATGTAGCTAGATCCAGCATTCACTGTTTTTCAATCTTAAGTTTGAAAAATAAAATGAAACAATATCTGGCATTTTATGATAAAACCCAGCTTAGTTGATCATAGAGAATGTCAGCTAGTGGGGGCTTTAATATCTTTATGTATAAAACATCTGTTTGGTGTGAGGCTTATTTATGTGCCCATTTTATGAAATCATGTGTTTATGAAACTGTCTGGATTTGACAATCTATACTTACAGGTTTCACAGTGGAAAAAGTTGCCTTAAAATAATTTGAAACCACCAAAAAGTAAATATATTTTTCAATTAAAACTATAGCTAATCCAAAATAAAATTTATGCAAAAAAAACAAAAAAAATCTGAATATACTGTGTTGAGAAAAAAAAAGGTAGAAAGGATCAAATATAAGAAAGTTAACAAGATTAAAAACATGAAATGTTGGTTTACTTCAGTTTTACTACACTTTAGGTTTGTTATAATTTGGAAACTCTTTGGATTGATTTCATGCAGATAAGATCTAAACAAAAAATAGTATCATGTTAAATTATATCTTATTATATTTATATTGAACAGTGTAAAACAAACTTAAAAATAAGTAACAAAATACATAAATATTTGAAAATTTTACATTATTATCCTCTCTAAAGCAGCTTTGAATTAGCATAGGTCAGCCTTATCGTCTAGTTAAAAAGAATTTTTGTCATAGAAAGATCTTTTAAGTGAATAAGAAATATATATATATTTATATACAGCATGATGTTTTTATTTGAATAAAAGGGTTATGTTTGTTTTTTAAAGCTGAAACCAAACTAAATATTTTTAAGCCATATGAATGCTCAGTAGTTTAGTTTTTTTTTCAAAGCAGTTGAATAGCCAATGCTTGGCCAGACACCATGTCCAGTTAGTGTCTGAGAAAACAGTAATGAATTTCAACCTATAAAGGAACTTAAGTGCAAAAAATATAATTTGTTGCAAAGTCTGAAGAGGGAAACAAATATTGACAGAATCACACTTTAGTATGTCATTAAGTATATCATATGGTTTGTAAGATTAAATGTAAATATAGTAAGCAAGTTGAGAAGTTATTTATAAAATACTGATGTTTAGTTGCAATGTGAACATACCCTGATAGTGCTTAGGCAACTTTAAAGGCTTGTCTTTACCACTGTTACATAGTACAGTGAAAAGTATCATTTGTGAATGACTAATAATATTATGGATTAACATCAGGCATCATTGTTTAGTTGATAGATAAGTACTTAAACAGTAATCAGTGTCTTGAGAGAAACTTAACACAAATATATTACTTTGAGCATAATATGTTGCTGTCTGTTAACATTTGGCTAGGCTTATCTTTGTACTGGATGTAGGTTAAAACTTACTTGATAATTTCTGATTTAAGGCCTATGACATATACCAACTTTTGTTTTATCTAGTATAAATTTATTATGTAAAAACTTGTTTGTTTGTTTTTATTTCTAGGCTAGCAGCCTACCTCTTTATTGGAAACTACCACTGTTTCTAGCTGCAGGTGGAGAGAGTAAAGGTGTTGTCAGCTGTGATATGTTCTTAGATTTTTGGAAAAGGTGATTCAATTTACAATAAACTTTCTTCATAGTATATCTTTATTATGAAATTAATTCCTCTGGGAATTAGTGATAAAGTTATGGAGAAATGAGCATTGTTATCAAAGAGTCACTATATTTGATTTAAAATGGTAAAGATGTATAGATATTTAAGTTAAATTTAATATTTTATCACATTCAGAATAACTAACAATCCAAAAAATCTAAAAATGATTTCAAATTGCAGATGCACAGATACTGACATGTGAATTCGGTTTTAGTCATACTCTGATATTTACTTAAAACTTTGTTCTCAACAAAAGATTTGTGGTTTAAAAGAATATTTTATTGAGAACAATTCAAGATTCAAAATAAAATGACTGCCTGTATAAATTATATCACTAAACTTTTACTGTTCTGACTACCCTTACAACTGCTTCCATTTTTAAGTTCATAATAGTACAACACCAGGTGAATATAAGCTATTCAAAGGGATGTTCTAGAATGTAAACAAATTAAAACTGTTATATTTATCTTATGCTACTTTATGTGCAAGAATGTATTACTGTTAATTGTCAATAAAAGTATTTGAGATGTATTTAAGGGTTAACTAACATTTTCAACTGAAAATTAATATGAAATATTAAACTCAATCTAACCCTAGTAGTTGTGGTTTCAACTACAGTAAAACCTTGGTGGATTAGAAAAGCTAGCTCACTTACACTTGGTGATCTTTCATATTCGTGATATTTTTTTATTGTTTTAAAAAATTTTATGTATAAAGCTGTGAAATTTAAACAGACTTTGAGAGAAGTCATCAATTTTAGAATATGTATCCTATGTAGCAAAATAAAATTGCGAGCAGTATTGTTATGGAAAGAAATCTGTTTATTTCAACATTATAGATAAACTGTTGCTCAGTAGTTTTACAACTAGCTGACCATACTGGATTTTCATTCATAGTCCCTAAGAAATAAGTAATAAAAAATATTTTGAAAAAATATGGATGATGTAGGGATGGCAACACCAAAAAAATACGGAAACAAGGTAGGGACGAATACACAAAACCATACAAAAATTCTTACAGTAGTAGCCAAATCTTTTCAACAAAAACTTTTATCTACAACTAAATCTTGTATTCCTTTCATTTGCATAAATTCAGGTTTAAATAAAAGCATTTAAACTGAATAATGCTCTGAAGTATTATGATGACAAATTCCCATAAATTTGTAACATTGACTCTGTGGCTACTTATGTAGGGATTGTTATATGATTTTGTGTATTCATTTCTACCATGTTTCTGTACTTTTTGGTATTGCAATCCCTACATCATTCATATTTTTTTCAAAACCTCTAAAACCTAATTTAGTTGTTTATAAAAGTCTCTTAGATTGTTATAAGAGAGAGATTTGAAACTTTGACGAGCAATACATAATATGAGATGGCCATTTTTTTCCCTACCCATCTCTACATACTCAGCACTACCATAATAACAAAAATTAATTATTGAATTTTATTGTTTATGTATGAGATTCTTTTTCAAAAATATACAATCAATGGCTAAGATGAATCAATCTTTTTAAAAGTCTTCTTGATAAAACAGAACAAAAGAAAATGCAAATTTGAATAAAGTAAACAGCAAAAAATGGCTAAATGTAATCAATAAGCCATCACTGCAGTGTTGCTGTTATTTAATGATTACAGACTGATGAGAAACTTTGTATTTCTGTGAATATGCATTGAAGTAGCTCTGTTTTATTACAGTTAAAGTTTTCTGTGCAACTTCTTCATATGGACAGATTAAGAAACTTATCTTCTAAAAAAAGTAATTTGGAATCACACATAATAATACAAAAATAACTATATGGGGAGGAAGTTAGATAAATAGCAATCAAACTATTGAATAGGCTGTGACACATCAAGCTGATATAAAAAAATGGAGATGGATGCTCTATGTATTCTTTATGACTTGGTTATGGAAAAAATTTAATATAGACCTTGAGCACGCAAAAAAAAAACAAATTAAATGAAAGATTAAATAGTCTTACCTTAATTTTTGTAATATTAATTCCATCTAGAAACTGCAAAAAGAGTAACAAGGTTTTTGGGTACAGAGTAAAGTACATAAATGAAGTGTACTTACAACATCAGTATATCAGTTGTGAGTGAGTTAGGTAGTCAGAAAAGGAATGTTTCCACAGCTTGTAAAGTATATATATATATATGTATAGAGAGAGAGAGAGAGAAGTTTAGATGCATAGAAATTTAAACTGAACTATGTGCTAGTCAATTCTTAGGCTATTTGTCTTTAATAGCATTGTAACTTGAGAAATCATAATGTAATTTATAGACTCTATTCATCTTAATTGCTCAGCATTAAAACCAGCTAAGTTATTACATCACTATGTTCATTTCTTTAGATTTGTTTCATACAGTTTCCATCAAAAAACTTGCCTTATTATAGAGTGAGAACAAGAATTAAAAGCAACAGAGGAAAATTAACTATTTGTCATTTCTGTAACCATTTTAAAAAAAACTGTACTTGAATAGTAAAAATAGACAAAATAAGTAGAGCTTTTTTCAATAACACTTGTTTGGAGTACCTTAAATCCTGTATATTAGAAAAAAAACATAATAAAAAAACTTTAATTACTTTATTGAACCTGTTCTTTAAATTAAAAATTATGTATCTCTCACAAAAAAAAAACTATGTTTAGATATATTTCTTTTTCAGAGTGATAACGTCTTGCCATGATGAATCCTCACAGTTTGTACGGGTTATAACACAAGGGAAGAGGAAGTACCTCTTACCTGATGACTTTGTTCCTTTAATCCAGGTAACAGATTTAATGTTTATATTTTACATTTTATTCATTGTATATACTGTCATTTAAGGTTTATTAAAATTATAAATGAATAAAGTAACTTAAATTTACTTCATAAACTAACTAGGTTTTATTACTTATGAATAATTAAAAATGTCATTGGTGCATAATATTTATCGAAATTGAGGTTTGTCTGTATATTAAGAACAAATACTACTGTAAATAGCAGTGTGATCATCTGTAATTATGTTTCACAATAAGAAGAAAATTTTTTTCTGTATAATGATATAATTTAAAGTAGGTGTACTTGATGTTTCTAAATGTTTTTATCCAGGATGTTATTGACACACATCCTGGCTTGACTTTTTTGAAAGAAGCTGCAGAATTCCACTCAAGATATGTTCACACAGTAAGTATTTGGATTATATGATAAACTTTAGCTTTTCCATAACTATTTAAAAATATTCAGAAATATCCAAGTGTAGTTGTATATTGATGTAGTTTTTCTCCATCAAATTAAATTTTGTAAATGAATAAAAATTATTGATTAAAAGAATTTTTTTATTTGATTCAAGATTTATAATTAGAGCTTGGCAGTTAGTGGTTTCTACGAAAGGAATGCATTCAATTATTTGATTAGTTCTAACATCCTCACCCAATAGAAGCAAAAGAAAACAGAGATACACTACTTCATAACTTTGTGAACAACTGTGTTATTCTAATACAGTATTGCATGATCTTTCTATTTTAATTTTTTTTTCTAAGTAATTTATGAATCATCCTTCATTTCTTATGATAGACATATTCTGAAGATTACCATGTGTGAATTTTGCAAAAACATATTTTTTCATAGATTGTTTAAATTATTTTAAAGATAATGTGGACATTTTCTACTTAACAAATGAATTGCTAATGTTAAATACCACCATACCAACACCTAGTCACCAATATGTTTGCTTTTAAAGTATGCAGTAATCCCCTCACTGAGCTTGTGTAAATCAACTAAATTAATGATTAAGTAATGAAAACATGCTTACTATGACCAGTAAGGATAATATTGTTTTTATTTAAAACATATCATGATTGCAATTAGAAATAATTAAGTACCAGTTACCAATTTATTCAGGTACGTTGTTTGTATATGATAAACATAAAAATGATATTCTACAAAGATTTGATTTATTGGAATATTTTGCAGTCTTATACTGTATTCACTAAACAGTAGACTTATGTAACTTTATCTGATTTGATGATGATATAATTTCTGTTGATGAATATAATAAAAACACCTTATGTTTAAAAATATTACAACTAAAAAAAAAACCATAGTATATCCATTAAAAAGTAAAAGCACTGTAATTTTGAACAGAGAAACAGACATAAACAAGGTACGTTTCCTAAATGTTAAGCAATCTTCAGTCAGGTGACTTCCTTGTTTTGTACTGTGTTAAACTTGTAATAAAGTTTTAACCCATCCCTAAACTGTACAAGTTTACCTTATCTCTTGTCTTCTCATTGAAGAAAATTTCTGTAGCTTTTAATCAGATAAAATTTAACACATAAGTACTTTCACAAACCCCTGGACCCCTCCCTTATACCTGCACCTATTTATACAACATTAAAGAACACACTTATTAAATACTGGGAAAATAAGGGACTTTTCCTAGATCAATGTCTGTGTATACAACATTAAACAATACAGTTATGCAATTATAAGTTAGAAGCATAATATATAATACAAAAGAAGTAAATTTACACTATTTAATACTTAAGTAGTCAAAGAGTTGGCAGTGGGTGTTGCCAGCCAGTTGCCTTCCCTCTGATCATCAGTTAAAAATTAGTGACATTAGCAGATAGCCTTAGCAGCTTTGCCATAATAAAGACAGGGTGAGCAAGTTGAATGGCAATGAGAATTGAACTTTAGACACACTATTCACAAGCTCTCACCCCGATTAACCAGGCCATGCTAGCCCAAAGATGAACATATCTTGAAGTAAAGATACAACAAATAATAATGCTAAAATCAGGTTTTGATACCCCTACTGGAAAGACCACAGATAGCAAGTTATTTAGTGTGATCACTGTGATGGCAATGTTTTGATTACTTAGATAGTTACAATGCTTGAAATCCCTAATTTTGATGAATTGATTGTTGGAACAACAGAAGACAATAATAATTGAAAAAACGATTTTCTGTTATTTAATTATTTTTGTGACAAACAATTTAATCACAATTTTGATTAATTGATTAGATTACATGATGCTAATTGATATAGTCAGTGGTCATAGATAATTGATTAAATCATTCAACTCTATATAATGTATCTAAAGTTAACTGATTTCCAAGTCCATGGCCAGAATTATTTTATTTGGGCATACAAGTTTGATAATTAAAAGACAAAAATCATGTTACTTTCATGACCATCCAAATGAGTCTTGATTGAACTTTAACTGCCAGAGAAAGGTTAAAAAACAGCAGTAATTTGTTGTTATTTTTTGTTTCTTGAGAGGGGAGAATGATTTGGAGAGGCAGGCCCTTGTAGAACATCCATGGCTATGGACTTTCTGATTTCTATTTGTATTGTACAAATAGAGTATGATAAGGTTAAAGATTTCTTTATTTCAACTCTTCGAAATGCACATTATGAATGGTAACAGAAAATACTTTTTTTTAACTTAATCAGGTGATAGCAAGAATATACTACAATGTAAATAGGTCTTGGAGTGGGCAGATTACTATCCCAGAACTCAGGAAAAGCAACTTCCTTCAAGTAAGTAAGCCTGACAAAAAGTCAAAAAACTGAAATCTAACAATGGACATTTTTGCCATTCCTTATACTTTTGGAAAATTGTAATGTTTTAGAAATTATTTATTTGTAATACTGATTTAGAAATAAGCTCATAATTTTTATGGTTATTTTCTTTTTTCTGTCATTTAATTTATCAGATTTTTATATGTATAATTAGTAAACCAGTGACATGGTTTCTTTAAAATTGATGGGTGTTATGATTACTTTATTATAATTTACATCAAAATACTTAAAATTGTTAATGTTATTGTTTAAGATCAACATAAAAATGTTACAATTGAATTCGTATGTGATATTGGTGTTTCAGAAAATTTGCTACTTCAGAACTTGTACTTCAAATATGTTATTGATCCTTTGGAAGACTAAAGAAAAATTTATTTTGCATTTCAAATAAAGCATTCCTGTCTTTATTGTTCTCTTCAAACTTGGTGTGAGTGTTTTAGATAACTATATTACATAACACTCAAAATATTTTGGTATGCCTGAAATGTAACTGATGTGCATAAACAGAAATTTGCTGTATGTGCTGTTTAATTGAGAATTACTTTTGCTTGTCGAAAGTGATTGTGGAACACAAGGTGCATAGGATTTCTGAAAAACTAACCTGATGAAGAACTTGTATTTGATGTAGACTGCATTCTAGCTTAGTTCTTGATTGTTAGACCATGGCAACTGTACTGATCAGAACAAGAAAACTTTATTCTGGTAGGCTATAAAACACTTAACTATAAATGTTAAGAAAGGCTATTCTGATTTATCAATAATAAGGAAGGATAGTAAATATAACCTATAAAAAAAAGAATTCATAAAGTTATAAGAAAATACTGAACAAATGTACTTATCATTTCCTTTTAATGGCAAAACAATATTTAAAAGAATGTCATTTATCCCCAAATAAGACAAGGGTTACTATTATGAAATGCATGTATTCTCAGTGTGTCCTGAGAAAGTATTTAAAATGCTAAAAGTTCTTCTTATTAATGTTCTCATTGTGGTGTTCTCAGATACACTGATAATCTTCAGGTAAGGATAGTGAGTGCTCTAACTAGAAGTTTGGTGGAATAAGTATTGCAAAATTAATCTGAATTCCTGGTGTGATAAGTTTTCAGTAATATATAAAAAAAAAAATAGATTATTTATTTGATACTCTGAAAAGACAAACAAATACAGCACAATTCACATATTTACAAAACAAAAAACAATACTATAGCTGTTGAGAGCTCTTGAATCAGATTAAATCTGGAAAAAAATCTAAAAGAATCTGGTGAAGAATGGGAGAATTAACCACTATATTATGTATTACAATACACTCAATTCTCCCAGGGTGCAGTTGTCTCCCATGTCATATGATCATCTTGTAAGTATAAGTATGACGTCCAGATATTCTTAAACCTGCATACGACTGATGTTAATTAAGAACGTACACATACAAGCCTAAACAATTCTCTAATGACACTTTCTGTGGGAAAGTCTAGAAATGCCAAATCATAATGATAGTTGATGATGTATGAGATTACGATATTCCAGAGCTGGTTACCTGCATTTTACTTATCCTACATAAAATTCTTCCATGTCAATAAGGAAAGTAAGAAAGTTTTTTTAATACCTTGTATGATGAGCTTTTAATGTTTTCTTATTGTCCCCATTGTTAAAGATCATTAAATTAGTTGCTATTCCAATTCAAGTAAATGTTTTGTGAAAAGTCATCCAATTAGAAAGTACGGGATAGTGAGAAGATAAATTAATAGGAGCACTATCCTGCAGTCCTGGCTTTTTTTTTTAGTATGACAGAAAACCAAGTTTTCTGATGAATCATTAGTGCTTTACTCTGTTTTTGGTCTACTAAAAACACTTTGGGAAATAAGTAATAATTTACAGTTTCTGGAATCTGGAAAAAATTTGCATAAAAGAATTGAAGTAAATTTATTCTTAAATTTTCAAACACCAGCTGTCAGTGAACATTCTGAAGAATCATACTCAAATAAGCATGTGAAATACTGAAAATATTTAGGTACATTAAAGTCATAATAAGAAAATGAAGACAAATTTTAACAAAACCTTTATGAAACAGTATATATATTTATATATATATTACAATGTATAACACAGTAAGGCTATAAAAGAATAAGAAGTTATGTTTAAACAATTAAAAAAATAGAACACTATAAAACATGAGAAAACAAGCTTAAATTAAGCAAATACAAAAAAATATGTTAAGACTTTGAAAGTAAAAATAGTGGAAAAGAAAATTATCAATAGAAAAAGTACCTCACTGAAATGTAAAATCAAGAAAACAGCAGTAAAATACAGTAAAAACTAAAATACTATTCAGTGATACAAGAGCCTACCTTGCAAAGTAGTTATATATATATATATATATATATATATTGTTAATATATATGTGGCTCGGCATGGCCAAGTGGTTAGGGCGCTCGACTCGCAATATGAGGGTTGCAGGTTCGAATCCCCTTCACACCAAACATGCTCGCCCTTTCAGCCGTGGGGGTGTTATAATGTGATGGTCAATCCCACTATTCATTGGTAAAAGAGTAGCCCAAGAGTTGGTGGTGGGTGGTGATGACTAGTTGTCTTCCCTCTAGTCTTACACTGCTAAATTAGGGATGGCTAGTGCAGATAGTCCTCATGTAGCTTTGCGCAAAATTCAAAAACAAACAATACTATATATGTTTATTGGAGGGATGTGTGGTGTTAATGAAACTACATGAATGAAAGACAAATAGAGTATATAGTTGCTAGTGTTATTAATATAACTGTGAATATTCTTAATAGTATCCTCCAGTTTCTGTACTAGGTAATTAGTTTTTTGGTTATTGTGAATACTTTGTGGTGAAGTTTATGACAGGTAGAGAAGTATTATACTTAGAATGAAAAGTATGTTCATATATGAAAACCTTTTGCAATATACAGTGTGTTTGCTTTAACGTTTATATATTACAGAAGGTAGGAATTTTACTTTTGCTCAACTTAACACATTTTTCAACTCATAATTATTTTTGGGAAGTTATCCAGTAGTTTGGAATCTTTCATATAAACCATTGGTGCATCTTTTAATCATGTCATACATTTCTTGTTCTTTCACAGATATTAGCATTATTAGAAGAAGAAGAAGATATCAATCAAATCACAGAATATTTTTCGTATGAACATTTTTATGTCATATATTGTAAATTCTGGGAGCTGGATAAAGATCATGACTTGTTCATAGACAAACATGATCTTAGTAGACATAATGATGGTGGTGAGTAAAAGCATGAACATAATGACAGTTTTAAGTATGAGCAGAGCTCAGTAAAAATTATAATGGTTTTTCATTATACGAGAGTTGTCTGAAAAGTTCATGTTCATGAGAATGATTGCACTAGTGTTCGAAATGTCGTACCTGTTTTAAAAATAATTTCCCCTACTGTAAAAGTTGTAACTTTTAATTAAATAATGCTTATTAGTTTGTTTATAGTGATTAACTGTACTGCATGTGGCAGTTTTCAAATTTCAATTGCATTATAACAACTCAAGAATGTTGATTATACAATTTTTTTTTTCTGTTTATAAATATAGCAAATGAAAGTAAGCTTTGGTTTCTGTTACTGTTGGTGAGTGCAGACAACATTCTTATTGTTCTAGCACACAGTGACTGACACTTTTAGAATCGTGTTAAAATTATTGATTCTTGTATTTCTAAGTATTTGTAAATATAAGCACAAGAGTGATCATAAATTTTTCACATAAAACTTATAAGTGGAAGACTTTCAGATGTTGAATAATAGATAGTTTTTGTAAAATATTGTTGTAAGCCTGTTTTATACGGGAAGATTGAAAAAAAAAGGAGGAAACAAAGATTTTTATAGGATTTGTTTCATTCTTTTTAATTTATTTTAACATTTTCTCTTTTCCAGCTATATCCCTTAGGATGATTGAGAGATTATTTTCAGGGGCAGTAACTCGGTAAGTTACTATGATTACCTAAAGTTTTATTCAGTACATGTAATGTACAACTTAGGTAGTTTCTGAACCAGTAACATATGGAAGTAAGTTTTTATTGCATAATTGTATTCACCAATTAGTTATATTAATAACGAATATCTATTTCATTTATCCTTTACTTTGATATTTTTAATTTGTTTCAGTGGGCCAATCCAGAAGGATGGGAAGATGAGTTACACAGAGTTTGTGTGGTTCTTAATCTCAGAGGAAGACAAGCGGCATCCTAGAAGGTATCAATAATTGAAATATTCTTTTTTTTTGTCATATTCAGCATGGAAACCTTTTGACAGATTCAAACCTATCAGCACTGTTGAATTTGACATATCAGTTTCTGAAAGCCAAAATAATCAGTATTAAAAAAAAACTGTAATGACGATGAGTTGAGTCACTAAAGATTGTATATCTTTATTTCATATACAATTAAATATAACTGACAGATATTAAACAAGATAATTAAAAATTGTTCATGTAAAAAAGTGAATAGGGATCATCAAAAAAGTACAGAAACATGTTGAATCAAAATGCAGTATTATATTTTTGAGCTACAAATCCCTATTTTGACTCCATGTTTACAGTACTTATCAATTTTAGTTAAATTCATTTACATTTCCTCTTCAGAAGTGCTAAAGTTTTTCAGCGGTAATTGAAAACTTGGCTTTCCTTTTCTCAATAATAATAAAACTGGTTTGTTTAGGTTGTATTTATTTAAAGTAGGTATCAACTTGCAATATGCATGTTGCAGGTTCAAAACCTTTCACCACACATACTGTCCCTTTCAGCTTGGAGTATTATAATGTGATGGTCAATCCCAGTTTTTGTTAGTGAAAGAGAAGACAAAAGTTGGCAGTGGGTGGTGTTGGCTAGCTGCCTTCCCTTTAGTCTATCACTTGGAAATTAGGGATGAATAGTGCAGATAGCCTTCAAGTAGTGTAGCATGAAATTCCAAAAGACAAATAATCAAAGTAGGCATTTTCTGTCTACCTGTTTAAATTAGCCTTATCCTTTTAAATTTATGTTGTTGTAATGTGTTTAAGTGTTTAATTTTTCATATTTAGCTTTCAATTTACATTATTTTCAATTTAAAAAACATTATTCCTTGGAATAATTTTTGGAACGTAGGGTATAAGATGTTATTTTGTCTGAGAACATTTATACTCTATTGAATATATATATATATATATATGTACATATGTATGTATGTATGTTTCAAGTTAGTTTAAAGTTTTTGTTCAATGAACACATCTAAATTTTGATATTAACAAACCTTCTTAACAGAGTTACAGAAAATTAACTTTAATTTTCTTTGGAAATATATAAAATAATGAATTAACTGCTCTGATTTGCTCATTCAATCCCAGTTTAAGCTATATATATACAGGCAATCTAATTATTCTCTAAAGCTGTAATTGTAGATTTTATGCCAAGTGCTGTTGCTTCTTTTAACAGCTGATTGGTTTAGTGTAATAGGTCATTTAAATAAATCAGTTGATTTTGTGTTGGTGGATTATACTTGGAAATTAATAATGAGAGAACCCAGTATTTTTTTGGATAGCTGTATGATCCTTCCCTGAATAGTATAAACTGTTAATTTTTATTTTATTTTATTTTTCAAAACACTTTGCTATTCTTGCCTATCATTGGTAAAAAGCTTTAGGTTAAATTCTTCTATTAAATGATATATTTAGTAGAGTATTAGTATTACACTATCTCTTACAGTATAGAGTATTGGTTTCGGTGTATGGATCTGGATGGTGATGGGTTCCTCTCAATGTATGAACTGGAGTATTTTTATGAGGAGCAACTTACACGAATGGAAGCTCTAGGCATTGAAACACTTCCCTTTAAAGACTGTCTTTGTCAGGTATATAGATTTATTAAATATAAGTTTTGTTGTCAGTGTTTGGACAAGTTATAATTGTTTATAGATTGGAGTAAGATCTTGGTTTTATGTGTGAAGTATTAAAAATTTTGTTTCTGTATATCTCTGATCAAGTTATATACAAATTTAATAATATAAATTTAAATATAGTGCTTGCTTACATATTCTAGAGCTCTGAGTTTCATTTTTGAGATATTGTCTAATTTCTCCCTGTAAAGTATAATAAGATAAAGATTGTACAGCAAAATATTGAAAATGTATTCTGTCAAAAGTTAGATTGAACCATATGAGTGAGATGTTAGTATGCTGATTTCTTCATACACAGTATAATAAGCTAAAGATTGTACAACAGAATATTGAAAGTATATACCACCAGAGGTGCTATATTAAGTTGTGTGAGTGACGTATTAGATTCTATTCCTTATCTACTATAAGTGAATCTCTAAATTTTCACATGTGGAATTTAACTGGTTGATTACCTTGTAATTTTAAAGTAAACTGTGGTTATTGTTCTGTCTCAATAATGCTTATATGACTATTCATGTAATACTAACAAACGGTTAAAAATTGTATAATATATTGTTGTGAGGTTTGAGAAAGTGACCAGCTTCATCTGTTTATGAATTACATCTCATACTTAAAACATTAAAAAATTAATTTATTTTTATAGAAATTAAACTTGTTGTTCAAACTAATCTCATCATAATAGAAGTTGATCCCAGTATTCTCTAGACCTGAACATAGAAATTGTTTAAACTAAACGTGAAATTAGATAAAGACATAACTGGTCTTGGAATTGTTTCTTTCAGATGTTAGACATGATTAGGCCCAAGTACAATGGCAAGATATCTCTGTCTGATCTGAAGAATTGCAAGATGACACCTATTTTCTTTGATACCTTCTTTAACTTAGAAAAATATCTTGACCATGAACAGCGAGATCCTTTTGCTGCTCAGCGAGTAAGAAGTCATTTTGTACATTTCTTTCATGATCATTTACTAAAATATATATATAATATTTTATTTAAGAGTTACTGCACAGTTACCCCATTAAATGTGGTAGTTTAAACTTATTTTGTGCATAAACATTAATGTACGTGTTAAATCAAAAAATAATTATTATTTTGTTTATTTACATGCCTTCACTATGTTTTCTCCTAAGTATTTACCAGTTAGAAACATATTATAGGCAAACAAACTACAATCCTCTTGAGATTAGTACACAATACTGTGTATATTATTTAGAATTAAACTAAAACCCACTCTTTTTAGGAACTTTGACACAAAGATACTGATACTAGATTTGGCATATACACATGCCTTCCCTGGCATGTCCCACCATCTGACAGAAGAGGGCAGGTGAATGTGCTGAAACTTGTGTTAAATCTCTGTGTCAAAGTTCAAAAAAAAGAGTGGGTTTTAATTTAATTACAACATGCCTAATGGTTTATTTTGAACACTGCCAAAATAACAATGATTAATCAGAGTTAATTTTGTTCCAGTATCTAAAAAAGTCTGTCATAGCATGTGTTCTTTCTGATATTGGCTTACAAATAAGAAAGATAATATTGCTTCATGATTTGAATGGTGACTGAGTGTCATAAAAGACTTATTAGATTAAGTTATATGTGTAATAATATAAATATTTAGCATATATAGAGAAAGTACACAATCTTTAATTGTGAAAACTAGAAGAAATAATTTGATCTCCTAACCAGATATAGGCCTAAAATTCATATAGGGCACATCTACATTTTTGCAGTTATGGACAATAATATTTTATTGTGTGAGGAAAAAGAGCTGGCAAAATACTTTATTTTAAGAAGTGTTGGAGCTTGGTTTGGGTATTCCTTATTGTTCAACATCTGAGAATCTGAGAAATGTTATATTGTGTTATGTTACAGAACTGTGATGATACAGCTTAAAGTTTTATTATTGAACAAAATCAACTGTCTAAATGTTATTTGCTTAATTTCTTACAATAATTGTGCTGACTGCCAAAATAAAAAATAATCAAGAGAACCAAAATAATTAAGTTTAATAAATAATATTAAACAGCTAAAAAGTGTCAAAATTGGATTTATGTTTTTTGTAAAGGTTGAAAGTACTTATTTGATGCCCTTGAATTTGTTCTTTTCTATTTAAAAATTTTTCTTCGACTTATTGCAAATTCATGAAGACCAGTGGCTTAAAATGAAAGAATTTTGTATTCTTGAATTTCTTAAAAACTGTGCATAAAACTGGCATAATTTTAGAAACATAAGAAACCATATGTCATGTACCAATTTCATATATATTGTTTTTTATCTAAATTTTGTTAATAATAATGTTTTAATTAAAGGCACATGTTTGATTCAGGTATTGTGCATAGTATTTTTGTTAGCTGCAGTTTCTTTTTATATTTGTGATAGGATCACGAACTGGAAGGAGTGGAACTTTCAGATTGGGATCGTTATGCAGCAGAAGAGTATGAACTTTTAGTTGCTGAAGAAGGAGCCAATGATCATCCAGAAGATTTGTAAGCGATTTTTCACTTTTCTTCTTAAAAAGTTATATTTCTTTTTAGTTTAACTCTTTTGTTTTCAAATATTAAAATTTTTTATTCTGATATTTTAATACCATATTTATAAGAGTCACCTTGGATTACAGTCATTGCCAGCCAACTACAGTAGCAGTTTAGTGAGTTATAGGATGTAATATCAGACATATGCTGACAGATGTTGCATCAATCAGATTGATATTATGAAATTATTTCCATTAATAATTTGTTGCTGTTTATAATTACTCTCTTATCATTTCATTATTTTGGGAGGGCAAGATTAAATCATTTGTATATTACATAGTAGATTTATTCAAGGTTAAGAATACTTAACTATTATATTTTGATATTCAGAAAATAGTTATACTGTACAGAACAGTAGATGTGAAGTAAGAACTATATCGAAAAAAGTTATGTTTATAAAGATGGACATCTTTCTCAATCTACTTATATATACATATCATTAAAACAGCTCAAGAATTTAATAAGTATTTATATTAAGCCTTTCATATTTAAGTAATAAAGTAGAATTATTAGATTATAAAATCAATTGTAAGATAAAACATATAGAAGACTTTTAGATTTTTGGAAAAAATGATAAATTGTGAAGATTTTGTTTCATCATATTCATTATATTCTAATAGCACTACTTCCAAATCTGGAAATAACTGATGGTTTAGTCTTATTGACTTAGTTATTTTTACTAGTGGTTTTCTACTAGCTCTTTCAACAGTAAGAAACATAATCAAAATTATTTTCAGTAAAAAATATGTATATAATATTACAACAAGTTTTATAATATTAAAGATAATGTTGAAATGAATGAATCATGATTAGTAACAGAAAATATTACACACAAAACTTGCATCACTACCTTCTTAATTTTCAACTATAAAACCATACATACTTGAACTCTGAATGTACTAAGTGTATTTTAATACAATTTGGCAAATTTTTAGTAAGCATTACAAGTCTGCTGTATATCAATAATCTGATCTTTTAAGGAAATATTTTCACTAAAGATTTGACTGTGAATTTACAGAGCCTTTACTGATTCAGTCTGAGTTCAAGTGATTTTCATGCTAAGGATAAAAATACTTTTTATATCATACAGGTTTTATATTCCATTTTCATAAACTTTAGAACCTTTTAAATGAATATCAGAATTTTATTTTTGTAAAACTTAATATTTTGTCATTTTCTCAACCTTAACACTAGCTGTAGCAAAATTATCAAACAAAAAGTACAAAATCAAATCAATAATACGTTTTCCTTTTTAGAATGATTGTAACAGACAATTATTTATCCTAACAGTATCAGCTATCAACCATCTGCTTGCTCTTAATTTTATTACTTTACAATGCCCCTTAGACTCTATTTAAGTATTTGAAAGTTAGTTGACCACAGCAGGAGAACTTAGTGTAAGCAACCAGTTAGTTACAATCATGTGATGCAATTAGCTAAAGCTGCTGCCATAGAATTCTTTTTTTCACCCCTTTTTTAATATAACCTAATAAGTTTCTACTTTTTACATTTTAGTAACTTTGTTTAAAAATATGTAAAAATAAATAGAAAATATAACTAAGAAACAAGAAATTTTGGACTTGCATTGCATTTGAAGTTTATTTCAGTAATTTGTACTCAATAACAAAGCAATAGTTTTTTCACAATGTGTTGGTTCTCCACAAAAAAACATATATCAGGCACTAGGATAGAATGTCCTAAAATCATTATATTTCAACTGGGTTTCTAACTAAGTTATAAATAGATTTAAACTTTCTCTTAGCTGCTTGGAGCAAAAGAACAGGATCTTAACCAATGAAGCAAGCTAAATGTCTAATTACAGGTGACAAAACAAAATAACTGTATATGGAATATTGTAAAAAGGCTATTTTTTATTGAGTATAAATAATCCAATAACATTGTAAGAGAGAATTATTACATTTCGTGAAAAACAGAATGATTGGGAGGGGTGTGTAATATGTGGGCTTAACATGTTTTTTATATCTCAGTAAAGCAATTAGTTTGTAGGTTCTAACTTTATATTCTGGCTTGACAATATCTATAATATGTATTTCTTATTAGTTGGACACTCAGAAAGTCATATAAGTGTAAATAGAAAATCTAAAATGGACAGTTCAGAGTGCATATGAATCACAACTCAGAAAAGTGAAGATTGAGAATTTATTTTAGTATTTCCTTCTTGAACTAGTTAATTAAAGCTTGGATAATTTGAATTATAGACTATGTTTTGATTCCAAGCTTAATGACATACATTGATAATAAGGCTGCTTAACTAAATTTTTAATGTTATTCTGTAAAAAGTTTGTGACTTGCACACTTTGACCCTTCAGTATGCATGTTGTTAAAGGAATATATATTTAGCAAGTAAAAATTAGTATGATACTTAAGTATGTTTTTCAGTGAATTTGTTTTCACTTTTTTCAATTCCATATTATTTTGTAGAATGTATGAAGACTATGAGCGTGAAGATGACGAGTTGTCCACGGGCTTGGAAAAGTTAAGTGTTCCTGGAGTTCTACATCCCAGAACATTACATGTTGGGTCAGATATGGATGATGATGAGTATGACTATGCTGATTCTGATGCAGACTATCATTACTGAGAATGATTTCATATAAATAAAAGCTAGAATATTAAATGTTTGTAGTCAGTTGACATAGTCTCACTGATTAATGTATACACATATATGTGAGGAACAATTAGGCCTATCCAAATGTGAAGCGGTCTAGGTAAATCAGTATTTCAATTTGTGCCATGTTGTTACTAGGTTCTGTTATCTACAATGAAAGATGAAGATGGATAAGAAGCATTCTTTGTAATACACAATTGTTTTCCACTAAGAAGTTGTGCAAGTTTAAGTCACTTTGTGCTTTTAAGTTGAGATTTGCGTTTATGGTGTGCTTAACTTATTTTTTCCAAAAAGCAAGGAGATAGTGGTTTGGTACATATAGTTTTTTGTTGTCTGTGATCTAGTCCAATGTCAGTGATTCTTTTGCCAAGTTTTGTCAGGGTGGCCACAAGCCTGAAAAGGCAGGGAAAATTATGGGGACCCCCTTTCTCCTTTTCTTTTTGCTTAAACTGAGATCCTGTGTGTGTGCTTTTTATCTATGCCAATTATTGGCATATTTTAATATAATCCTAGTCATTCACTCTATTGTTTTATGTAGTGGTAATTATCTAATTAATTGTACTTGATGATAAGTCAGATCAAATGTTCTTTTTATAAACAAAACTGCATCTCTCTATTATCTACCATTTAATTGCATTGTCCTTGTTTGAAGATTTTTTCTGCTGTGAAGTGTTTCTGACATTTTATTATCCTTGGTAACCAGGTTACAAGTCAAAGTGGTGTTAAAAAGTTGAAATCCTGTACATACTCTTCTGTGGGTTGAATTTTATATAAAAAGTTGGGGAAAACAGATTTTGGAATGTGGCCACCCTGTCAGTCTGACCTGTTGGTTCAAAGATAATCTTGTAGATTTTATAAATAAGATCCTAAGTTTTGAAAAATAACTATTACACAAGTCTAATTCAATGCAGCTGTTTAATATAAGTTTTGTAAACTGGTCTTCTTACATAATCATTTTAATTAAGGCTGTTATAAAGTTATGCATTAATATTTTTCAACGTCTAGGAGCTTAGAAAGATTGTCCTTGTTCTAAAGAAAATACATATTTTGCTTACAGCATAAATTGTGTGTTACAACATTGTTTGCTGTAATTTCTTTCATTTTGTCAGTACTGAGAGAGATCACAAACAGTTAAACTTACTAAGTTCATAGTAAAGCATACGTTTAATATAGTGTAGCATTGTTCTATAATGAAACACATTTCCTTTGAATTTAGAAAATTAAGAAGCCAAACTTTCAACCAGATTGTGCATGATTTCATAAGGATTGATTAAAGAAGACTAAAAAATTCCCAGGCAGATATGAAGTCAATAATTTTAACTGAAGATGCAATACATACCTGTTTAGTGAAAAATTATATTTTCAGCGAGTATGAAGAAAAGCCTGAATTTCTGGATTAAATATTTATGAAAGGACAGTTTTTGATTAAAAGTTTCTTTAAATATTTATTGATTGGAGAAAAATTATTTTTAGAAATTTGGAGAAAATATCAGGAAGTTAATACATACGTATTAGTATATATATATATATATGTACATAAAGTAACAAGACACTTCTAAAAGTTAACCTACCTTTGGAGAATTTTCTTGTGTTTCTTTGGCTTTCTTGAAAATGTTTGAAGTGATCAAATATCAATTTACCTTAGTGAAATTTCATTTAAAAATTAAGGATTTTCAGATTAAATTTAGAAATATTTAGTTTGTTTAAGAATTGGTCCTCTTATTTAATACTTAAGCATGCTTATATCATAATTCAGCTTCTTAGGATGCTATATTTCAATATTTGTCTCTTTAATAAGAAGTTTTAAGTGATGTTTCCTTTACTGTTATGTGGTAGTTGTAAACAATAAACCTTGGAATTACGTGTAAAATATTTTGAATTATATGTGCACTTAATGTTTCAGTTTTCAATTATATGTGCACTTAATGTTTCAGTTTTCAAAGATGTTCTGCAGCTATTACAAAAAAGATTTTGAAAGCATCTGAATAATTGATGTAATGTATATGAGAAAATTATAACTATTTTGATGATTTTAACAGATAAGTAGACTATGTATTTTTTGTCTAGCAAACTTACATGAAAACATGTTGCAAATATGTCTGTTGCCAATTTCTTCTCAATTATTTCTTTAGTCTACTTGTACATGTAGGCTGGAAAAATAGAAAACACATTGTAAAGTGTAAAGTTACCCATTCTAAAGTTTTCTTTCCTACCTTGGAAGCTTGAGAAATTTTTTAAATACCAGGCTGTTTTGTGATTCAGTTCCTGTGATGATAGGTATAATGTATCTTGTTTCCTTGGAGATTTTTCAAAAGGAAATGTTTGATGTCTGCTTACAGCCTGGAGCTATGAGTGTTTTTTTAGCTACATGACTTCATTTTTGTACAAGTTAACTCATTACCCAAATGTTTTCTTTATGGCATTGTTTGATATAAATCATTATCTTACAAATGTCTTTATGTTTTGGTACATAAACAAAAATGTTCAAATGTTGATGTCAGAAAATCACTTCTCATGCAATATGTAATGCATACAGGTGACTGAAAGACATTTATAACACACATATGTTTTGTGAATTTCATGTTTTATGTCAGTGGTGATTGTCCTAACAGTTGCTGGAGGAATACTAGCATTTCAGCTTTCTGAAGCTTGTTTCACTCCTGTGACAATTTCTATGCCTGGAAAAAAACAACAAGAAAAACATAATTGAGTACAAGTTTCTATAATCTAACATTGTCAATTCAATTTAAGCATCTCTTCAGCATGGATTTTTTTTCAAAATTATGAATTTCAAACTTTTTGATCATATGCATTTCAGTACTTTAGTGAGTATGTTCTGTCAGCAATAAGAAAAAGACTGTTATCTCAATTTCTCCAAAATAATGGGCACTTCTAATAGTTCTTTGGTGAGAACTGTCTACACTTTTAACTTTTTATTGAGTTAAAGAGACCACCTTTTAACTTACTATATCTATAATGAACAATGAACTTGCTTGTTGTATTGTTACTACTACAGTTGAGAAGTTTATTGAGTCCCCTTGAATCTGTGAACTTATCTTATTGATTCATGCTGATGTCGGGACTCGTTCTTCATGCTAGTGCTACTATTTTTCAAGGTTACTCCAACTTTCAGGTGAGGCATGAACATCATCAAGGAGTTTGATGAGGTATGAACTTCTTTTCTACCTTAATAGGGCCCTCATCTTCAAAGGTGATTTGTGAAATACTTGATCATCTATGTTATTACCACCAGTTTTGAGGAGTTAAACTCTCTGGTGTCATCTTTAAGGTATTACTCTGTACTGATCAGAATTATTCTGTCCGTGATTAAACTCATTGAATTAGGTATGATTATTATTATCAATTATAAAACTATGGTCTTACTTTTTTAGACAAGAATAAAGCCTTAGTGTGAGAATTTCTCATCTAGAATTCTAGGATCTTTTCTTACTTATGTTTTGAACAATCATTTAATAAAATTTATTCTTAAGAATTATGTACAGATTGTCTAGTTAGCTGTATGAAATCTTTTTATAGTTGTTATTATTCAATCTTTTTTTATCTTTAAACCATTAAGTTGTTACTTTTTCGTGCATAATATTGTAGTCACACTATCTCAAATTTGTGCTTTTATTGTTTTTACAAACTTTGACTTTGTTTAATTGGAGAACTTTTTTTAATTTTTTGAGGAAAAGTTAGCAAAGCTTTTAATTAAACTAGTTTTTATTGCTATTTTTCTATGCTAGTATTTTTTTCTCTCATTTGTCTCTTTTTCTGAATTTTGTTAGTTGTCCTACTTATATGCATTATGTAAAGATTTTTTTTTTTTATAAATTCTCTGTCTGTGAATGTTTGGTAAACAATAATTTACAGAATCTTAAAATTTACATTTGATGAATCTACATGTACTTGCTGCATGTATTTAGTGCATTTTCAGCATGGCTTTAACATTATTTTTCTAAACTCTCCTTCAGTAAAAATAATATATTGCTATATATATATATATCATAATTAAATTATCCATCAATAACATGCTTTATCTGTCATGATATTAACATCCTCTTTGTGTAATATATTTACATTAGTTAGTAATTAATAAGAGTTCAAATAATTACTGCATTAACTTGCAGTACTTACTCTTGAAGATTACAGTATTTGTATATTAAAGAAAAAGAACAAATACAATATACTGAAGTGATTTGTTCAATTTTTATGTGCTACAAATTGTTGAACTAATTGAAATAATTAGGTGCCATATAATTTTAAGTTTCACAACAGTATGACTTTGAGCTGCATTAGGTGTTGGAATGTGTAGATAATGAAAATTATTTTAACTTGAAATACATTATTATTATGATTACAAATATGTATTTTACTTGTTCAGCTTGTGTTTGATAATCATAATGTAGTTATGGGTTTGTGTATATAGGAAGTGTTAAAGTTTGAACTCCATTACTTGTTCGTGATTGTAACTGCTACTTGTCAAATCTAGATACTATTTATATGTAACAAAAGCAAACACAACTAAAGATATGAATGTAATGAGTATGATATAATAATGGGTAGGTATGGAGAATCTGGCTGTGGGTGTTGGATGTATGTAGTTACAGAACTGCTCATCAATCAACTGGTTGCAAAATAAAACAGCAGAAGCAGTACAGTTAATCATTGCATTCAGAAAGTTCTAAAGCTATTTTATTTTTTCATACTTCAGTAACATGGCAGATAGGAAACTTGTAACATAATTAAAAGTTAGGCTTGTAAACTGATGTGTGTGTGATTTATTTCTTTGGGGGTTTGTAAAACAAAAAAATGTGTGCTAACAAACCCATATGTGTGACATAACTTTGCATATTGAAATGGTGCTCAGGCAGATTTTAGGTAACACCTCTATTATAACCAATGTGAATGTAACTAAGTATTAGTTTTTGTCACAAAAGTTCTTTAAACATTGAATGATTGTGGAATGTAAATACTATTTGAGATATAGTAGACAAACGTTTTTAGGTTACACAGTGACAAGATTAATAAGATACAGAATCAGAAAATTAAGACATAAATATTTTTATATTCTATGGTATATTTACAAAGCATATTGCAATTTCTTTTATGAATACTACACTGAAAAATGTTTGAATTACTAGTTTAATTTCCAATTAGGACATTTTTAGAAGTTGACTTCTAAATACCACAGTAATTTTGGCATACCAGTTATAAATGCATTGATATCAATTAAGCCTTTTCTTAGTCTGTTGTAACACCCAAGGTGGAGTTAAAGTTTAGAGCTTACTGTAGTATCACTTTTCTGATGTGTTTTCCTCATTAAATTGTATTGAGTTTGTAGGAGCCTTGACTAATTTATCATATAGTTTGGAAACCATTACCTAATTTTAATAAATGCTCTGGAGTTTCTTTTTTTGTTGTTGTTTTTAATCACTATCTTCATCAGTTAAGTAGTTTTACCATTAAAATTCTGTTGAGACATAATTTCAGAATTCTATGGTAAAATCTTGTTAGATTATATCTATTAATAACTGTAACCTTCAAAAGTGAAAAAAAAATTGTATATACATCTGCTATGAATATAATGTGATATCCCCCCCAGATCTGTTCTTCTTTCTAACATTGCAAAGATCAAAGTAGAATGTTTTGGTTTTGTACCATTAGACTGTATTTGCACATAATAACATACATACCTTGGACTTATGTTTAATTACAAAAGCCTAATTATAGCTATATAGATGAATGAAGCACACCTGAACATATGTGATTTTCTAATCAATGACAAATAGTCTTACCATAAGTTAAAACATTTTCTTTTGTTTTATCAAAAGTTATTGCAGCAGACAAACAGTTTATTATATATACAAGAACATTTTCCATTTTATATAGGAAATGTATATGTGATTATGACCAAATATAGTTATATTAGCAGTCATAATTATTAGTTATCAACTCAAACATTAATTTTTAAAACAAACAGAAAGTTTGTGTATTTCGTGTAGTGAATGTTAAAAATTACAAATAATAACTTTACACTCTCATACCATCACTAATAAAGACCAAAGTATTAGTTGCCAATCTAAACATTTTCTGTTCTACTGTGAAATTTATATGATTGGAAATTTTAAATAACTTATGGATGAGTTACATTTGGATATAAGTTTCATGATATGTACCAAACGTTTGAGTTATTATATATATGCAAGAAAAAATCAAGTTTTTGATGAGTTTCACAAATGCTTTTTTCTTTTACTGCAAATTAGTAATTTGGTTTAAGCTTAAGACAATCTTCTTGTGATGTTTCAAATTTTATGTATTTGAAAATTCTAAAAATTGTAAAGCTGTTGAAAGATGGTTTTCATGATATATGTGCACACTTAACTGAAAAAAACAATCTGTGCCTTCAGTAATTCCTTAAAATGTACTAAGTGTTGTTAGTAAAAGTTAACAGATAACTTGAAAAATTCCTATTTCTGTTAGTTATTGATCTTTTCTCAAGTTACTGATATAAGAGAAAATTTTTTTATTTAATATCACTGCTAAAACATAAAAAAACAATTTTATTTAATATCACTGCTAAAACATAAAAAACAATTGTATTTAATATCACTGCTAAAACATAAAAGAAAATTTTAGAATTCTTGATAGTTTTATAACAATGGAAATTGTCAGTGCTAGTTGTTGCATTAAAATATTTGTTAATCTGATGTATAAATAGGAAGCAATAATGAGTGCATTAGTTAGTGTTTCTAGATCTATATTACCATGGGTAGATCATTAATGAATTTGAAAGTAGGATTAAGAATTCTATGAATTTTGAAATCCTGTCTCTTTAAAAACCATCATCAACCAATTTTGTGACTTCTTAAGTCATACGTTTTCTGTATTAGAATAAAGAACAATATTTCTTATTCATAAAGAATGACAAGTCAAACTTTGCCAGAAATATAGTGAAAGGTAATGTCAAACAATAATTACATTTTATTTTTTAAGAAGACTTGTAACTAAGCATTTTTTATCTTTAATATTAATTAAATCAGTGTAACTGTAATAGACACTTTTGAAATTTGTATAAGGTTTACTTGAAACAGAGATCAAACACAAGGGTGCTTCTACTGCTGTGATGCACAAAAAGGTAAAATTCTTAGAGTAATTTTCAACAGCATATATATATACCACTGTGCTTGAACACAGATTGAACATTTTTCATTGTTAGACCTAGTCAGTTAAATTTTAGGTGTTGCAGTTTTATGTGCATCATAAAAAAATTGTTTTTACTTTTTATTGACAGTGAGAAAAATATAGTTAATGTCAGGAAAACTATAGCTGAAGAATATTACCATCCTTATTCATATCTGAGATAGGCCCTTTAACATGTTTAGTTTATATATCAAATTATAAGCTACGATTATTGGTGTGGTACAGAATAATATATATTTTTTCCTATTTCTGTAAATGTGATGCAGAAAACATTTGCCATAAAACTACATTTCATAATATGTTAATGATGTAACTGGACTTTTCTTACAATTTTGAACTTGCCATTAATTATTTGTTAAAATTATAACTTGGGTAATTTTATTAAGAATATAAAATAATGGATTTATGAATCACAGGAACTGATGTATTGTACTTGTGCTTGTAGTTGCAAAATATACAAGTGTTTGGATTGTCAAGTATTGTTAGTGATAAGTTTGAAAGTAGAAATGGGTTATTTTTTGGTGAAGTTAATACTTGTATATTTTAAATTAATTAATGAATTAATGATAGTTCTCAGGGTTTTACTTTTATATTCTGAAAATCATTTTCACCTGATGCAGTATCTGAAAGTTTTTTAAGTAACTAATTGAGTAATTTACACAACCAGTTTCTTTTATTTTCAAGATCATCTGTTCCTCACTATTTGAACTTGTAAGACAAAAAATATAAATAAAATAAAGTGCTTATAAATGGCATAAAGGTATAGATACCTTTTTAGATGCCAGTAACAGATAAACAGTAATTGTTTTATTACAGGAATACTGGTAGTGCAATATGTGTATAGATGTGTAGAAAAATACATTGTATCTTCTTTATTTGCTTCATATGTTTTCGTTGAAGTAGATATGTGTTCAATCACTTTGTGTTACACTAATATAATTTAACAAATCTTAAATTATTTATTTATTCATTCTTGGAACTATCTGGAAGATTTTAATTGTTAAAAGTTTTGATTGATCGGTTTTATACCAAAACTGGTTGACTAATGTAAGGCTTGATTACAACAAAAACTACAAGAAGTTCATGAACAAGTTGTAATGTATTGATCCTGTACAGATGTGTGTAAAAATAAAGACTAAAAAACAAGACTAGTTAGCTGTGTAATAGCTTAAGTAGAATGGAATTGATTTGTACCTGCGTGAGACACTTTCATTCATCATTCTCAGCCTAGCTTATTTCAGGAGGTAGTATGTTTTATCATCTTAGGTCCCAAATGTTTTCATTATATATAGATATATACACATACATACATATAAAGAAATGATTGGAGCTTTAATGGAAAATAGTTTTTTCAAGTGTATACAGGTACACTATTTTTATTAACTATAGTAGGGTCATTTATAGGTAGTTAATGTTGGTGATTCAAAATATATACT